ACGATAGTTCGCTGTCTTCTATTTTATGTCCGTGAAGCAATGTCATTAAAAGTAAGCAAAATGAAAACGCTTCGGGTATTCGACCAACATTACCTTCGGTAAGTTATCCAAGAGTCGTACAACACCTCTACCTATATTACTAATACAGAAGTCAGATGATGAAGGGGTTTTAAGTAAAAGAAGTAAGTCAGTTGATAAGGTTGTGAATCTTTATCAACTCAAGTGACTAAAACAAATGCTAAGCAAGCCCAGCCACCGTTTATTTCAAAGTATAATGTTAGCTTAAGTAGGTCTTCGCTGGATTAGGGAGTTACGCTTAAAACAATGCATTACTTCATAATGTATCTAAATGTTGGTTTGAGTTGTTTAAGGAAATGCAAACTTTCAGTTTACGACCTACAGGGCTCAGAATTAATATTAATACAGCAGAGGAATTCTTACATTATCTTCATACAACATTTTCTCATTACATAAATAGCCCTTTTTTATATCTCTTACCTTGATATTGTGATTTGAGGCATACTAACTTGAACTGTAATGCAGTAATGTCAATTCTGATATTGATAAAGATTGACAGAATGTTGTTTTCAAATATAAGAGAGTAAATTTATACTATTATGTCGTCACTTGATTTATTCAGTGAATAACTGGCATAGATAGAAAAGTAATACTAATCATAATTTAAAGCAGTTTAATAGATATAGCGGTTTTATCACAAGTTGTGAAACACTATTTGGTATCATGAAGTATAAAGTAAGTGCTTCGTAATACACTACAACTCTTCACTAGTATGAGCTTCATATCATATGAATATATGAGAAGTTAGCCTTGTAAATAAACATGTTACTATTATGACAATGGGCACGAATTCATCTAGTCATCATTTCCTAGTTCAATCATCTAACCATATATGGTGTGTTTATCATCCCGTAAACTATCACTGGACACATCTCAGCATTTAAAGTTTGAACTTTTCACGACTTTATTACTACTGAGTAGAACAAAACAATATGATAAGTATCTGTTGTGATGTCTCAGTTTTGTATAAAATATTGTTATTGATCTGAACATTTTAACGTATCATTCCCACATCGTTTTGGCGGTATAACTAATATCGTCTATCTTCTGCCTCCATTGTAATGTAATTCGCTGATTGGTTAACTTTTACTATGCGAATTTATCCAATTGCGAACAAGGTCAGTTTTCATGTATATACTTGTTCACGTGTTTTGGATTGGTTCTTTGTTATTATATATTAAATTCTCGGAGTAATACACTCTCATCTGCCAGCTTCGGTCTTCTCTCCATTCGTCCAGGGGTTGCAGCCAGTGTCTCTTGCGTACCAAGTTAACTATCAGCTAAGCACGCGTATTATATTCGTTTCGGAATATATACATATACCACTAGCGCCTCGAACCCATAACAGTATCTACAAGAAGGATTTGTATAATGTACGCTACATGAAGTTGACGTTGTATTATTTTCAAACAGAAGACTTCTTCCTCAACACTTTTCATAAAAACTTCATCATCATCATCAATATCAACATAGGACCAAGCATTACTGCGTAACGGTCTCAGTAGCCACACCTCATATCACTACATCAAGTAGAGAGGTAGTGGGGTGAAATATGAAGATGAGAAAATTCAGTCAAAAGAAATATAATGTATGAGGAGAAAGGAAAGAGGAGCGACAAAATGGTGAGATTCGGTACAGCGTTGTTAAGATGAGGATAATGTGTGTATACTTCTGCAACACTGACATCGGTTCTCAGTCATATCACCTAGGGTCTCCAACCACTAGTTCCTCTTGTCCCACCGACCCCAACCACCTAGTAGCCTGCATCGTCCTACATGGCTTAAACCAACAGTCACAGACTTCATACATTAGTGCCATGTTTTAGTCTGGTTATCTCAGGCCTTTTTCCAGCTTGGACCTACTTCGGTCAACCTTGTGTGACGAGGCAGACAGTGATTAGGCATATGCAGTACGTGTCTCAACCATCTCAGTCGATGAAGGTTGACAACTTCGTCAACTGATTTACCTCTTCTCCTTAAAACTTTATACCTGACTTCTGCGTTGCGTTACTCAAGTCGTGACACAATAGAATACGGTCTATGCTACGGAGGCAACAGTGGTGAAACACTTGAATCAGCCTTTTCATGTTTTCCACCTTCAGTGGCTATGTTTCATAGCCATAGAGTAGAACAGAGTGGACTTCTATGCAGTACACGCGACCCTAAATAGACAAACGGATATGACGATGGTGCCACAGGTGGCGCAAACTGGCAAAAGCCAATCGAGACTTTTGTATCCATGCAGAGATTTCATCGGCAACTGACTCACCAGGGCTGATCCCATTTCCCAGGTAAGTGAAGTGGTCGACACATTCAATCACTACACTCTCTACTGTCAGCCACGGCGTCGCTGAAGTCCAGTCCTGGAGCAAAAGTTTGCATTTGTGTTGTGATAAACGCATCCCAAACACTCTCAGACTGCCAATTAATATGTTCAGAAGACTCTGCATCTTGTCAGCGTCTTCACCTAACATGATGATGTCATATGCGTATTCTAGGTCTAACGGAAATTCACCTGTGATTAGGTCAATGTCTGTGTAATTAGGTGACGAGAGGGAAACCTCCATAGGTATATCTATGATGAAATGGAATAAGAATGGAGATAGTGGACACCCTTGAAGGACACCACTCGACGAGCACAGCTTCCTGGACATCTCACCATAGGCTCTAATACGCCCACAAGTGTTCGAGTAGAGAACCTTCAATAAGGTGATATACTTACTACATCCAAACTTAGAAATCGGGTGACGTGAAATGTATCGAAAACGAAATGATAAGCAATTATATCACATGAAAGTCGGTTGAAGGTAACCGAGACGACGTCCTGCTTCAGTTCGGTTCCGTGCAAAGTGTATTTATAACCTCGAGACAACTGAAGTCCCCTCTGAGATTCAAACCTGGCTCACGCGGTACTTAAGTCAGAGACTGAGGGATTCAAATGGTGACTGATCTACAGTAGAACTGGATCAGATAAACTGATTTGTCACTGGAGAGTAATTGATTTCATTTTATCGACTTCAGAATGCTGACCAATTTCTTCAATTTGAAGAATATCGTATACAAAATCCTGGGGTCTATAATTATCCGATATCCAACTGGAGCTCGAGAACAACAAACTCGAGATAACCAGGCAGGTTTTAGACTTGGATGAGGATGCGTCGACTAGGTTTTCCCACTTCAACAGGTTCTGGAACACAGGCATACTAAGAGGCGGTCAACCGTGAGGTGTTGTGGTAGTGGCTGACTGTGAAAGGAGTACCGAGCAAGTATGTAACGCTAATTGCTGCCCTCTACTCAAACTCATCTAGTAGTATGAAAGGGTTTATGAAGAGTTGTTATCAGAATTGACGACAAATGTAAGATGATGCACCAGGACCGGTTTGCAACTACTTCTAGTTTAATGATAAGAAGTGAAGTGGTGGAATGTGTCGATCACTTCACTTACTTAAGGCTTGCCAACTTGCGTCAACCGTGGCGCCGACTAGTAAGACATACGACTATCTGTCAAAGAACGAGTACAATGTACCACATTCCGTTGCGTCACGGCTGTGTAACATAGACGTTGAAATTAGAATAAATGAATCAGTTACAGGGTTTTGATCATACATGTCTTCATAGAACTGATCGAGTTTGGAGGGATACTAGGTTAAGATAGGTAGTCAGTCGATGACGTTGTGAACTTTCACAGGCTGAATTGGCTGGGACATAAATGTTGCACATGCGGAGCCAGCGCCTATCTTGATATGCAACGTTTTGGGAAGCTGGATCTGGTTGGAAAACGTTTCAGGGTGGCCAAACCAAGATGTGTCACCAGTCAATGAAATCTCTGACTGCTAGTGTGAGCTATGTGGGGAAATGTAAACTTCTTGATTGAGGTCCCCGAGATGATAGTGGTTGAGGACACTTGGTGACATGGCTCTTTGACGTCTTCTAAAGCTTGAATATTTGAGCTAACCGTTATCTTCAATTAGTTTCTTCTCTCAAAAATTTGTCTATTTTGATATCACTCTTATTGCATCCACCTGTTCTTTGTATACTACTGAGACGATTGTGTAGGAGCTCGAACGCATGGATACGTGTGCAAGGTTCTAAGTTGATTTCATTTGGTTGACCAATTACTATCCACCATTTTGCATTGTAGCCACTAAGCTACGTGATTCAACATCACATAGCATTTCGACAGATGTTAGTTGAATAAATACAATCGACAAGAAACCCTATTTTACCTAAGTTTTGTACTCATTGACGTTCATTTGTAAGGCGTTTCCTTCAGGGACTGACTTGTCAGAGAAAGATAATGTAGAAACAAAAAACAAACAAGCATACTGATAACTTTCACAGTTTAAACTAAGCAACCATTTTAAGTAAGTTGACGTATATACAACTTCCTATCATTACCAAATTCGTTACCTCCTCGCCCCCCCCCCTTTGTAAGAAAATTGAGCAACTTTCAAAAAAAACCTAAATTAATCCTAAATTGTATATCATAAAAGTTAACATCTTGTGTAGATACGTATACATTATAACACATCATGAGGTCTTTATCAGTTGATTTATGCATAATTTTGTTTTGATTCCTTTTTTTTGTCATGACTTTATGACATAATCATTGTGCCAATCTATCAGAGATCAGAATAATGAGTATAGGTGCACACTTATACAGAAACATAGCCCCCCCCCTCTACACATACACACAAACATGGAAACAAATGGAACACATGAAGACAAAGTACATCCGATGAATTCAACCTTGTTGTTGTTTGTATTGTTGTTATGATGATAGTAATAGTAATGGTAATAATGATAATAATTATTATTGCATGTTAACTTCATTTTAGCTATGAAGTATTGTTAAACATTCAAAAGTCACCTGGTAGAAAAATACAACTTGTAACAAGTTTTTTTTTAGAGTGTTATTTACAACTACTGTAGTGGTGTAGTGTATTCAGAAACAAGTATTCTGTACTCTTTAGTTTTCCATGTAGTCGTAGCTACTAGTAAAATAATCTAGAATTCGACATAGATGTCTAACATCATAGATAGCTAATAGTATGCCTTGAAACAACAAGAAGTATTAGACCCGTGTTAAGATGATCACTTTTAAGGATATATGGAAAGCTGAAATGAATCTATCTAACCATGGATGAAATCAAAAAGACTGGACTAGATGAGAGAATTGATTACCTTCGAAAACGTTAGCATAGTACAAAAAAAGCATTAACCAATCAGAGAATTACCTTGAAAATCCAGGGGAGGGAGCTTTGAACTACTTGTTCATACAATAAAAATTGTAGAAAAACTTTTCAAATGTATAAAAAGTGAATTTGTGTGGAATAGATTAGGGTTTCATTTCAATGAAGGATATACTGATCATATATGTCAACCTTTTGACAAATTTCTAATCATTGTCGTGACGTATATTGGAAAACGATAATTTTGTACCATCGAGAGGATAATTTTCTTTTTCGATGATATCATTTTCTATAGCTGTATAATAGTATTTATGTATATATCATAAACATTATAACAGTAGTCTATTATAAAACAATAGGGTATACTTACATCATTAACCTAGTGCTAGAAAAATAACTGCAATCAAGAATGCAAAGTAGTTGCGTAATACATACACTGAGACAGTGGAAATATTGAGGAAGGCAAGGAGTTTGACAAGGTGAAAATTGTTGGTAGATAAGGTACAGAAATATTGAGTGTCCACTTGATATATAAATGGATGGATGTAAAGAAGGTGAAGAATAAGACAAGGGTCATAATGAAGGTGATAGTAACAGTAAACTAATTAATCTTAATGAAATCGAAACAAGATTGTGAAAGTGTTAAGACCATGGTAAGATGAGAGATTGAACATACTTCTTTTGTACACAGAGATCAGGCTTGAATTGATGAATTGCCAGTGCTTCTGCAATGGTGCACAACTGTCGAAGGCGTACTCCTTTTGAACAATTCCATCTGGCACAATAAATGACACTGAAGGAAGATTCTGGTATAGTTTTATGTCCAGAGTTGACCAAATGTTCAAGAATTGAACTGTTAATTGATTTACATTCTCCCCTTGAGAACCATGCAGGATAGTGCTCCGAGATACGTTTGGAAATCGTGCGCTTTGTGCGGCCTATATAACTAGCTCCATAGAAGCAAGTAAATTTGTAGACACACATCGAGGTGCCCAAAATGGTAACTTGTTTTTAAGGCACTCCGGAATGAGTCGTTGACTAGACAAGCTGGTTCGATACTGACACTGAAGCTCACATGGCCAGAGTAATGAGAATAAGCAACAAGGAACTCTGGCTGGCTGACTGGCTGGCAACGAACCAACAAAGCAAGAAACTATCGCTCAACAAATATGCACTGAAAGGAAATGGAAGTGGAGATGGATTGGGCATACACTGAGAAGGCCGACTGGGGACATCACGTGACAGGCGAGGTCGTCGAGTGGAACCCAGATGGGAAACGATGAGCTGAGCGTCCCAGCTGAGTGTGACATGCAGGAGATCGTGTGAGGAAGAAACGAGAGGTTGTGGGCATTGGTGGAGCAAGGTTGAAAAGATTTCAGAGAAGAGAGTAGAATGGAGACGTGCTACTGAAGCCATATGTTCCACTAGGAACCCAAGGGACAAATAATAATAATAATATATATTACCTCAACAGTTACATAAATTATAAAGTAACAGTTATTATGGAGAGTTCACAGAGTTCATAGAATCTTCGTACAAGTAATCGGATATACCTTATAACATACATGTTAAAGGCTATACTTCACCAAGTTTATCAGTCAATCTGATAGTCACTATAGTGTCATGCACAGTTAACACAGTTAAATCATTCAGTTATGAGCATTTCTCCAATATGCGAAGAGATAATTCAGTAAAGAAACATTCTCTCTTCTTCGACGATATCTTTCTCTAAAGCTGTACAATCGTATTTATGTATATATCATAAACATTATAACAGTCTATTACTAAACAATAGGCTAGAATTGCATTATTAGGCCAGCTAGTGCTAAAACAAACCAAAAACAAGAATGCAAAGTAGTTGCGTTATACATTCACTGAGACAGTAGAAATATTGAGGAAGGCAAGGAGTTTGACAAGATGAAAATTGTTGGTAGATAAGGTACAGAAATATTGAGTATCCACTTGATAGATAGATAGATAGATGGATGTAAAGAAGGTGAAGAATAAGACAAGGGTCATAATGAATTATTTCAGTTGGCTTATTTAATGACACTTTTATGTTAAAGATTACACTTTAGTATTTATGTCTAAGTGATTTCTAGTGAAAATCTTTTTGACACCAAAGTTGAAAAATATCAACATAGATCAAACTAATCATTATAAACTTAAACAAAAAAGATGAACAATTTTAAAATAAGTCATATAACAAAAAATAGTGAAAATCTGAGATTAGTCATTGAAACTTGAAGGCATATCAAAAAGAATAGGTAACAGTTATGTCACTGGAGTTGGTTTCATTTAAAAAGTGTACTTAGTAGAAGGCATTAAATATAAGGATGATTTTAACTTTTGAATCTTCAAACATGTTGATCTTAATGATAAGCTTTGAAATAAGATTGAAAAAGTAGGTTACCTGAGATTCTGTTACACAGGAAGGATAGTTAGTAAAAGAAAGTACACTTTAGTATTGTATAATCATATAGAAAGTTTGACAGGAGTGAGAAAATATGAACTATTGAATTCTAACCCAGTTGGTCAATAGTAATATGATCACCATTCTATTTAAAGATCAATGGTTTGATCCCTAGACGGAGGAGTCAGATAATAAGATGTAAAACCTATCCAATGGTTGTTTAATTCATCGTTGGAAGAACAAAAGAAACCTGGAAGCACTGGACAGCTTGTTTCATCCGACTAGTATGGGACTCCTCAGTAATGCGTACACTCAAGAACCTGCGACCTATACTAGGACGAAACAGTTGGCTATCCAATACTCTCAAGTTTCCTTTGTTCCTCTAACTGATGTAAGTCTATGATGAATAACAAGTTGAAATATTTCTAAATCTCCACAATTCTTTCAAGTTGTTATTCATCGAAGACTGATATCAGTTGAGGGGACAAAGGAAACCTGGGAGCATTGGACAGCTGCTTCGTCCTAGTATGGGACTCTTCAGCAGTGCGCACCTACGACCCCACACCAGCCAGGGATCGAACCCGTGACCTTCAGGTTCCACGGCCACCGCGTTACCATTGAGCTACTGGGTCAGTATCCAATGCTACATATTTCCAACTTCTGTTACCTCCATAATTCTCTTAAAATCCTTTAAAAAAAAGTTTCATTACAATATATGTTGTATAATAAATAAACTTACCATTTTCAATCTCTTTTATAATAGATATAAATTTTGGCCATATTAATTTGATAGAATATATAGATGAAGGTAAATTATCTTTACATTGTAATAAATTTATACTAGAATTATTAGTAATATTAGTAGTTAATGAATCAACAGCAAACCAATATGCTTGATATCCAAGTAATCGAGATATATCTAATGCCCATTGATAAGTGAAAATAATATTTGTTAAATGTTTAATTAATCGATATTTTAAGTGTAAATTTGATGAAATTGATATAGCTATAGCAATACATAATCCAGTTAATTCACTCATTTGACAAATATCTAAAGGTGAACGTGAATTATCAATTGGTTTAGCATATGGTCGATATGTTGTACTAAATGAGATATTTATATTATTTTGTATATCTAAATTAGTAGTTTCATTCAATTTTGTTAAAAAACTTAAAATACGTTCATATATTATAAAAATTGTATCTTGTACTTCAATAGATTCATTAATAATTTTCTTTGTAATTGGATTAATATATTCATTGTTATTATCATCAATTGAAAATGTCAATATTGGTGTTGATAGAACTGAAAGGGAAGGAGCGAGAAGGGGAAGTATTGAAAATATCATTTAAAGAATCATATAAGAAATTATCAGAATACTCAATAATTGTGTAGTAGTTACCAGTGGAATTCAGAATGTACATTTCAACCTATTTGGGATGTACCTGCCTTCCAGGATTCGGACACAGAAACGATTGCTTCAAATGTGATCCATGACACCACCGAGTCACGATAACCGCTTCTTGTGCGACGAGTATAGTTTCAGTGTTATTGCTTGTATTACACCGTCATTGATTGGACCGAATTGATCAGTCTCTGTTGATATATGGGCTGGTGTGCAGATGCCTCAATACTGTCTGTCATTTAACTATGTATAGTAATGATGGATAGTGCATAGCAGTGGAATCCAGGATGTGCATTTCGTCCTATTTGGGACACATTATATGCCAACAGAGACCGATCAATTCGGTCCAATCAATGACGGTGTAATGCAAGCAAAAAAAAAATTATCCGACAGTCTTCATTACCAATTCTAAATAAACGTTAATTAATATAAAGTAATAAGCTTTTTAGATTAAGACGATGAGGTGATTGGCTGATATAATCAAATGTACACGATTTCTTGAGTTATATAAAGACCCACTGGCAAATCGATCGAATATACCATTGGTAACACCCTGGTGACTATGAATAAGCTCACGCTAATTGATTTTGCTCAAGAAGATATGAAGTGTATACAAGGGGGCAATTAAAAAGTATATCGTTACAGCAGCAGAAGAGTAAGAAAGACGCATAAAGGTTCCTCTTGCGCTGGCCAGTTACTCATTATTCTGTAGACGATAAGGTATGTTGTATATTTGACTGTTTTCAAGCAGCAGTAAACAAATCTGATCTACTAGTTGACTATCGAATGGCGATCCATGATAGGAATGAAGCCAATGTGGGGCACTAAAAGGTTCAGCACACATGTTGATGAATGCCCAGACCGTCCAACAGTTTCGCTACGTGAACAATTTATCCATCCAAATCAACATACGACCAGACATTACTGAGTAATGGTCCGAGTTGCCGCCACACCTCGTATCACTACATCAAGCAAAAAGACAGTCAAGTGGAAGATCAACAAGGATAGAAAATTCAGTCAAAAGAAATATGAAGTATGAAAAGAGGGAAAGGAAAAATGACAAAGTGGTGAGATTCGGTATGGCATAGTTAAGATGAGGATAATGTGTGTATACATCTACGCCATCGATATCGGTTCCCAGTCATGATCCATCACCCAGAGTCTCCAACCACTGGTTCCTCAAAATAGAGAACTAGAAACAGTTAGAAATGCGACATTTAGCCATCTGAAGCAACGACGCTTTATTCACCCTCGATACAGTGGCTGTAGCATCTTTATTTCTAAGCTAACCTCCTCTATTCACATATACTTTCAGAATAAAATAAACGATTTCCATGTCTACAGACGATATTTTATTCCCACTGCATGCAAAAAAGGCTATTTTGAGGTCGACTAACATTTAGTAAACGTACAAATAAAACGGGGATATATATCGAGTAAACATTTCAACTATGCTTTGAACTGACAGATGTAGGAAATATACATCGTGAAATCCCAACTGAGTGGCTCAATGGTGATGTGATGGTCACGGGATCTGAAGGTCCGTGGGTTCGATCTGTGGTGGGTCAAGATCGTGGGGTGTGCACTGCTGAGGAGTCCTATTCTAAGACGAAACAGCTGTCCAGTAGCTCATAGTTCCTGATGAATACTAACCTGAAATAAATAGATATGTCTGTAACTACACATAAATATGAAGATTAAGAATGAATGAAGAACAAATTAACAAATAGATAAAGATAAACAATCCACTTACATATTCGACTTAAACATGCAATAGTATAATTTAAACGGTCTAAATCATTCATATCTAAACCATGCAATAGAATTTGTAGTACACGATTCAATTCAGCTCGACCAGCCAAATATGTGAAAGCTTTTAAATGACCATTTCGAACTGATGGTGAAACATGTGTATACGCTGGTGTATACGATGACTAGAATAGAAGATATAATCAATGTAAAAACAATACAAGAAAGTTAATGACACGTCAAAGTACGATAACATTATTTTATCTTTTATAATGAAATTAACTTCCTTTTTCTAATAACTAAAACTTAATTCAGAGGGAAATGATGTCTTGCCTTTAGTTTCTATAACCATATATATATATATATATATATATATATATATATATATATATATATATATATATATATATATATATATAGTCACTCCTCTTTCCTTTCTTCTCGTACTTTATATTTCTTTTGACTGCATTCACTTATCTTCACCCTTCACCTCACTACCTTTTTACTTGATGTGCTGATATGAGGTGTGGCAACTCGGACCGTTATGCAGTAATACCTGGTCCTATGTTGATAATGATGATGATGATGATGAGGCGAATTCACCTTCACAATTCTCACTAATTCCCTGTTCATACAGACAAATGGAACTTGAAGTTCTAAGCATACTCACTGAATTATAAGGTATTATAGATAATTTATAACAATACATTAACTGCTGCGGACCAATTTCGTATAATCCTTTGATTGATTGTTTATTATTCAAGTTATACTACACAATTAACGGGTTGAACAACAAATGATCCTTATGACTGAGTTAAATGTTTGGAACGATAAGTGCTGAATTTAAGTTGGAATAAGAACAATGATAATGAAATGAAAATAAATGCAACTAACAAGTTCAAATGCAACGAAACAGAAATCGAGAAATTCTAATAACAACCACCAATCATATAAAAATTTATTTATATTACCTCAGTTATAACACAAATATAGTAGTATATTTCCTAAAACATGCAATCGATTTGGTCATCAATTCAATGGCGTTGATATTTACTTAGTTAAGATGGAAACGAGACAAGAAAATACTCAAATTATTATTATTATTATTATTTATCCTTTGGGTTCCCTAGTGGAACATAGGACTTCAATAGCGCTTCGCCATTTCATTCTATTTTCTGCAGTCTTCTCAATCTGCCTCCACCACTGCCCAGAAGCTACCATTTCTTTCTCATATGGTCTCCTCAATGTCATCCTTGGATGCCCAACACATCATTCCTAACACGAATTCAACTCGAGGGCATGGTCTGGCGTGTAACGTCCCCGAATAAACTTTTCAGTAGATGTCCAATCTATTTTCACTTTTTGCTGCATATTTATTTGTTGGGCTGTAGGTTCTTGGTAAATTTGTTGTCAGGTCAGAGTTCCTTGTTGCTTATAGTTATTATTCTAGCCATTACATTTCCATCTTCAGTATCGAGTGATCGTAGCTGGCAGCTTTTGAAGTGGTTTGTTGGAAATGCTTTTCGTAACACGTCAAGGCTCTCAACCATCATATGGAAGCACCGACTGACGTGACCGAATTAGTGTTGAAAATCCGGATATTGTTCATGCTTTATCCTGAGTGCAGTAAATCTCCACACTGATTTCAGGTTAATGAACGCCTATCTTGCTATCTTTGCCATCCTGGCTGGCTTTCACGTGGTCATCTGTGCCTGTTCCACCTGTACTTGAGAGGATGCTGCCTAGGTAGGTGTAGGTGGAAGAGACAACTTCGTATAGATTTCTCCCGTTCATGATGGTTGCTGCTTGTTGTTGTAGGTTAGATATCTTCATCATCTTTGTTTTCCCTACGTTCACCTGTTGAAAGTTTCGTCTTCGCTGTCCTGCTTGTTCTGCCAACTTGTCAGTTTTCGTTTGTAGATCTTCGATTTTATGCGACATTAGACATAAACCACCATTGGCGAAATCCGAATCTTCTTCTGGGGTCTTTTCATCGGTCCAGCCAGTGTATGCTCATCTTCTCGCTCCTCACAGTTATTTGTTGCATGATCCAGTCGAGTCGAGTCGACCACAGTCAGGAAGATGATCGGTGATGGTAGGTGACAACCTTATCTTACTCCTGTCCTCTATCTTCACTTCAAAGGCATCACTGTGCTTTCCATTGTTGATCACTCATCATGTAGCCTCATCATATAGCATAGCATATAGCTGCTGTTGAATCAGGTTGATGTATGTTTGTGTCACTAAAAGTGTAGTGTTGAAGTGGCAGCTGCCTGGTGAAATGACTTCTTGGTCGACGCTGTCGAAGACCTTTTCAAAGTTGACGAAGATGGGATTGAGTTAACTGTTATTCATTCTGTGCTCTAGTCTATGATGATACGTAGAATAGCGTTGCAATTTGATCCGCACATGAGTTGTCCTTCCTGAAGCCAGCTAACCTTTCCTGGCCGTAATTTTGAATACAGAGCATGGTTTAGTCTCTCTAGTATGATGTGGCATAATATTTTGCTTCCACGCCAGTTCTTGCAAAGACTTAGGTCTCCCTTGTTTGGGAGTTTGACAAGGTAGATCTTTTTCCAATCGACAGGTATTTTTCTTTCCTTAAAATACTCAAATACAATGGTGTAATAGTCCAGAGTGTTATGATTCAATATCGATTCGGTTATTGCAGTCTAGAGCTGATTCCTTCAAAGTCGAACATCAGTGAATACCAAAAACTAGCACTAGGATTCATGACGCACGTTTCGTCTTATTTAAGCCTCATCAACTGGATGTATTTGCATTCCAAGTGGGATTCAAAGCCATTACCTATCAAATCATTAAATTCTAGCTTATTTTAATACAGTATTGAATAAGATGTTGAAAAATAAAATAAAAACAAGCATAAAAGTTGGCAATTTTCGCTTCCGATAATAGAAAACGACAATACATAGCTTATAAGTAAAGAAAATTAGATGTTAATTAACTTTACATTATCTAATTAATGTTCAGTTGTATATACAAATTAAAGTGTACAGTATAATAGCCAAAAAAAAACAGAGTCAAATTCCGAAGTGTTATTACAAAAGTATTTTATTAAAACAAATACTCTATTTCTAAAGTTATAAAAAATCTATTATGAAATTCATACAGTGAACATACAAATATGAATATAAACAATTCAATGAGGTAATCTCTTGTAAACAGTCAGAATACAGTAACCACATACAAGTTTGTATGTCTATGTTATATTAGTTGTAGTAATGATATATATAATAATACGTCGTAGTCTACAACACTTCAATAAGTTGAATGAAATTCGAATTCTTAGAGGATTGATTGACTGAACGGTCAACTGCCTTAACCAATGAATTTATGAGTAGAAAGTTTAAGAAATGAACTACCATTTATCTAAATGTGTGAATACCTCCTATTCTGCTAGTTTTCAGTTAATATTCATAAGCTGTCATCTCTATATCAAAAATACATGAAGGATAAGGTTACTACCCATGCCTACGTTTGTATGTATTCATAAGTTCATATCCTTATATGAAGTTGATCATATTAGACATTGATTATAGATGAGATCCTCCGAAAACGTATTACAGAATACTGTCTGTTTTAGTGAATTAAAGATGAACGAAGCGTAACAACTTCATCTATATATGAACATCTTATTGAGTTAAGTCATTCAGTTCTTCTTTGTGATTCATTTTTCAACAGAATTCATAAGTTGAACTACGTCAAAGGTTTATGTACATCATAACATATGATCAAAAGTCTACAGTATTTGCTCAAAGGTGTTGTTAAAAATCATTTTTTTATATTTTCGTCTGAACTATACATTGTTTTATCAATTCAATTCTACAATCCACTTCACATCATTAGTTTACGCTAGCCTTATTAACACCATTTGACTCCTACATTCTAGGTTTAAATCAGTTCTGGAACCAATTTTAGTGAATAAAGAATGGTTTTTATATACAGTATAAAATATAGAAATATTAAAACTACGTAACATACTACTGAACATTATGAGTAGTTAGAAACCATGTACTGATCTGTTGATTTCGTCAGCCAGATCAGAGTAACCAAAACAGTGGCTCAAGGTCACCAGCGGTATACCCAACAACGACAGATCAACCAAAATAGCTTCTAATTACTCATTTCTCTCAGTAGTAGATTTCCATAGTTCGTGACATCCTTTCTCATCAGAGATTAATACATTATGATCTTGGTTGACTAGGGGTTTCCAACGAAAACTCTATTCATATCATAGGTGGAAAGTTTAAAATAAACTCAAATGTGGAAGATGTCAATATGAACCGTGAAATTTATGTATCATTTGTGAAGTGATCATCCCACATATTAATCATGGTAACTTACTTAGTTTTGGCTAGCAGAGTCTAAGTGTGAACAACATTATTCACTCAGCTGCTTAGTCCAAAATAGGACGAAATGCGCCTCCTGGATTCCTCTGCTAGTCAAAACCAAATAAATTACCATAATTAATACTCAGGCAATATCGAGGCAACCCCGTACAGGAGCCCATGTGCCAATAGAAGTCAAACGACTGGATCCAGTAAAACAACGGAGAATTACGAGTATACCCATAAATAGTAATGATTATCAATATAGATGTAAAACCTAGGCATTGTGGTAGAATTTAATTCCACATTACATTTCGTTATTTGATTAATAACACACAGTGTGATACAGTATTATTCACTGGATGACGTCTCAAGTATCAATCACTATCGTTCATCATCGTATCAATGTAATCACACAACTTTCGACATTTGGTTCTTATAGTTACGTCACCTCATATTCCTTGTAATAAATCTAAAAATTAACTCGGAACTTACTAACAGAACTAACATATCCGTTAATGAGATCACATTAGGCACACAGTTATGCCTGACCTCCTCAGTATTCAAGTTTCAGGAGAAAATATACAGACAAACAGAAGGAGTAGCAATGGGATCAACACTATCCCTATCGTAGGATATATATTTGTATATAGTTCACAAAATATGGCTTTATGAACGTTTAATCTTGCAGCGAGCATATGCTGGTGATATGCGAATGACACATTTACTGTGTTGGAATCAAAACATATCAACAATTTCCTCACACATAAACTCAGTAGTAGGCACAATCCAATTCACTTACGAGGAGGTAGAAAACGAACAAGGAGAATTAACTATATTGGAGTGTAGGATAAAACGAAGAACAGACGGTGTTTAGATACTGCCGTCTACAGAATACCAGCACATCCCAACAGGTATCTAGACTTCAAGTCATCTTATCCAATGCCAGTCAGTTAAGGCAGGTTTAGTCAAGCATCTCGGTAATAGAGCTAGAAAACTAACTAGTCCGTGCAAGGACCTAAACAAGGGATTGAAACACGTAAAAGAAGCACTAATAGTTAACAATTATCCTCAGCAGTTTATCAAGAAATTTGTACGAAGACAAGAAACAAGAGTACAAGTAATAACGACAATACGAGCAAAAAGGAGTTCACAGCCTCCATTGTGTTACCTTATAAAGAAGGTATATCAGAAACTTTGAGTGGGATCTTCAACAAAGCTAGAATTAGCGTAGCATTTGAGCCTACAAACTTACTCAGCGATAAGCTTTGTCATCGAACCAATTAAGCAAAATAATCTCATCTATCAAATTCTATGTAACGATTGTAAGGTCAAGTTCATAGGTCAAACTAGCCGGTCAGGGTCACTTACAATAGCCGAACATAGAAATCTAGCTAGATATAGAATGACACACCAAAATAAGATCAATAACCTAGACAGAAAAACTTGGTTATGGCATTGCATACACTGACACATAACCACACAATAGGGTAGGTGGGATAAAACCACAGTAATGAAGTTCAATATAATAATAAGGTGGAGAGAGAGAGAGAGAGAGATTACTGAATGTTTGTTCACCGATTCAACACGCAACACACGGAACTTACATAGAACTTGATAGATTAGGTTATTTTGAAATAGTGGAGAATATTTGCAGCTCAGGTGGATGGTCTTGGTTGTATGGTATTCTCTGAGCTGGGTTGTTCAATCGTGAAGCTTTCATCCTCCTTCTACACAACATCACCACTAACTTCAATATAAAGTAAACTGTCAATATCTCTCCGTGAGTGATTCAGTAGCTTGCGTTAACTGAAAGGGTCTGTGATTGGTTGTTTCCTTCGATTGTTGTGTCATTGACAGACTGCATAGTTTTTCCGGTTCAGTGTCCCTCTGTTTGACCTCTGACCTTTCTGTTGTTTATCATCCTTCTTATTGATTGATAGATTGGGTCTATCATGTCTATACATCTCACCACTGTAATTGATCATGGACTGACTGACTGACCTGAATGCCAAGCTTCTAGGAATTCTGTGGTATTCTTCTTTGTGTTTCCTCTCTCCTTTCAAAATTTCTACATTGTCAAAATTGAATTCATGTCAATGGTTGTTATCCATGTGGATTGGAATGAGTGATGAAATGTTGTGTGTGACGTTTAATAAATAGCCAATTGGTGTTCATGTAGACGAATATGAAGAAGGCGACCACTTTGTCCAATGTAGTGTTGACTACAGTTATTGTAGTTGATTTTGTAAATGATAAACGGGTGTGTCTTCTTTGGTATTTGCGTCCCTTCGGTCTGCATAATATGGTGTGGAGGGAATTTATTGGTTTATGGGCCACATAAATTCCACCAAGTGGTATCAGCAGTGTTGTCATGATTTCTGATATACCCTTATGTATGGTAAGATGATGCGTTTGTTGATTTCTGTCGATGACTTTGTAGTTGATGATGTACGGGATAGGCATCTTCTGATAAAGTTTCGTGGGTAGTTGTTCTTCTTTAGGATAGAACATCAAGTAATTTTCTTCGTTTATCCGTGAAGTTGTTGTACTGCAGTGTGTTCCTGCTCTTTTGAATAGAGTCTGCACGCAACTGATATTGTGGGTTGTTGCTACTGTAGTTTAGGACTTAGTCAGCGTGTGTTGGCTTCGTGTACACTTGAATACTGATGATGTCATCTAGCAGGACGATGAAAGTTTCACAATTTGAACAACCAAGGCCATCCACCTGAGCTACAAATATTCTCCACTATTTCAATACATATAACTGAAATGACGCAATACCTATACCAGAGATATGAAATATTTTACTACCAATAAAAACAACACATATAAGGTAACATAAATATAAATATGAAATGTCGAAGGTGGTATGGTTACATTGATATGCTTATCAGGAATAAGTAATTTATGCCTGTGATGTCATTAAGTAAATAATACTGTATCACTCACTGTGTGTGTGTGTGTGTGTGTGTGTGTGTGTGTGTGTGTGTGTGTGTTATAAATCGAATAGAAAGAAATAATCATCATTCTATATTTATGTAAACGCATAAATTATGAATCAATGTATAAAGCATTACCTTTCGAAAAATTTTCTTTTTACTCCATGTTTACTATGATGTAGACTTGATATTCTTGATTTATCATTGAGTTTATTATCATCTTGAAGTTTAATATGCTTTAATTTTCCAGAGAATTCATCATCTGCATCAGAGGATAAAAGATCTTCTTCTTCTTCAACTGATTCATTTTCACTATCATCTTTTACATTAGTAGTATCAATAGTCATATCATCTTCAACAACAATATCATCATCATCATCATCATATCTATCTGAATCTTCTTCATCAAAATGATATGCACTAAAACATCCACGTGGATAAAGTGGAAATCTAACATAGATTAATGATTGAACTGATAATGATAATGCATACAATGGTCGAGTAAAACGTAATGGCATTTCTGGTTTTATTAAACCATATTCAAGATCATTCAATAAATATGGTATAACTATACTTGGACGAAGTTTAGACAGCATTGATATGATTTTCACTGCTGTATTGACAATTAAATCCACTTTTGAATATAATAAATACTTTAGACAGATTGGTGTAAATAGATTAACAATTTGATCAATTTGTTCCACAGAAAGATAGAACTATAGATAAAAAATAAGTAAACAATCAGAGAAGACAAAGTAGATGGTTAGAGTGAAGAATAGTGTTTCTTTCAACGAAGTCATTTACTAACATATACATTGGTGAATATATGTTGCAATGGATAGAATATTCCAGACTTATTTCCAGTCAGGAGTTGAAATATATTGAATAAGGAAAAGAAGTTAACGAATACAACTGAGAGCTAAGAACAGAGAGATAAACATGGGATTATGGAAGTAAAAAGTATAATTACGTAATACAGGATAAATCTATGACAACCATGCCCTCATGAAGGGTATGGCAAAGGTAGGAATATGGAAGGTACCTTTTTGAACGCACAGCTCTAATTTGAACTTCTGAATGTCCAATGTTTCAGTTATCCATAAATGTCTTGATCTGACTCCCTTTATTAGTATTATTTTTCCCTTGGGTTCCAAGTGGAACATAGGGCTTCAGTAGCACGTCTTCGTTTCACTGTGATCTTGCAGTCTTTTAGACCTTGCACCACGACTGCTAACAAGCTTTCATTTCTTCCTCACATGATCTTCTTCATGTCACCTTCAGCTGGGGCACCCAACTCGTCTTTTCCCCTTTGGGTTCCACTCGACTGTCTGGCCTGACGCATCATGTCCTCAAATGGTCTTCTCAGTGTATCAAGAACAAGATATTCAGCGAAGAGACTCTTTTCAACGAATTTATTTTCAAGCTGTACAATCGTATATATATGATATTTGGAAAAAATTATATCCCATGAGGAAAACTAAACACTATATGATGATGGCAGTAATAATAGAGCGGATGATGACATAGGCATTTATGATTATAATAACAATTGAAGTGCGAATGATAACAAATAGATTATGTAATATATGGAATGGTATATAGAGAGTATATAACTCAGAAGGGGTTGAAAAAATTATTGAAAATGGTAAATCAATTAAGTATTATGTAATGGCATAAGACAAATTGGACAAGATGAAGTCAATGTTTTCTAAAAGGATTAAGACAATTAAATGAAACAACACCGGAAACTAAGTTGAAGTGAAGGCGATTATAATAACAATAAAGGTTAAATTAACAAAGTGGGAGGCTCGCTAATGGGGTGGGAAAATGTTATGGCCATGATAAAGACAGTGACTGCACATACTTCTTTTGTACACACAGATCAGGTCTTAGTTCATGAATAGCTAAAGCCTCCCACCCCATTAGCTCCCCCTCCCACTTTATTAATTTAACCTTTGTATCCTTCCTTTATCACTATTATTGTTATTATAATCGCTTTCACTTCAACTAGTTTCCGGTGTTATTTCACTTAATTGTCTTAATCCTTTTAGAAAACATTGACTTCATCTTGTCCAATTTGTCTAATGCCATTACATAATACTTAATTGATTTACCATTTTCAACAATTTTTTCAACCCCTTCTGAGTTATATACTCTCTATGTACCATTCCATATATTACATAATCTATTTGTTATCATTCGCACTTCAATTGTTATTATAATCATAAAAAATAAGTAAACAATCAGGGGGTTGAAAATTAGTAGGTGGGAGGGGGGGGGGAGGAGGATATAAAATGCATAAAATGGGCATATTAACTGAATTGTCTAAGGAACACAACCTTAACTGATAGACGAGGTGATGACATAAAGTTAACAGAAAATCAGAGTCACGACAAAAGCATCTAAATTTTTAGCCACAGATTTTTATTAACAACAACGATATGATATAAAAACAAAAAAAATAATTATGCTAAAAACTATACCCGTCGCACAAGAAGTGGTTGTCGTGGCTCGTTAGTGTAGTGGATAACGTTCTGACGTTCGAAGCGATCACTCCCGAGTCCAAATCCTGAGGGAACAACATCACTCATCGGGAAGCAGGTACACATTCAGCTGACGAGTCACAAATAGAACGAAATGTGCCTCCTGGATTCTACTGCTAGCCACTATCTATCATTACTAGCACTAAAGCATCGGTAATATCGAGGTATTCGCACAGGATCCCATATGCCAATAGAGACCAATCAATTCGGTCAAATCAACAACGGTGTGATATAAAAATTAAAAAAACAATTATACTAAAATATGAAATTGATAAAATGCACTGAGCAACCATGTGAACATTCATGCAGTAAACAATGAGCCATAACCTACTGTATGAGGGCTACTGATGCTACCCAGTTGGTGAAGGCAGTGTTCAAAACCTGTGAATTACTGGTTAATATAATATTAGTGCTGAAGAAATCAGTCTATATCACCTTACTAGTCAAAATAACATGCTAGAGGTAGTTAGACGAAGACTGGAGAAGTCTATCAGAAGGATCTATAACGCTGCTAAACTCGTTCTCCTCAGCACTAAGAAAAGGGTACTGCAACAATCAAGGAAAGACAGGGATCCGATTCCCTATACATCTAAATGCACATATCAATTCAAATGTACCTGCGGAAGCAAATACATTGGACATATGGAGAGGCGTCTGTTTATCCGAATGGTGGAAGCATGTCGACAAGAAGACTTCGAGGAGTTTGATGACGAGACATTCAATAGATTATGGGGATTACAGTTATCAGTGAACAGAAAAATAAGAAATTGTTTGGAATTGTAGAAGCTTGTGCGATTCAAATTATCAAAGCAAACCTTTACATTCAGAAGGAAATGGTAGTCAACTTGAATCTACCATAGTTAGAATTACAAAGTCGTCTATTGATATTCAATCTTTCTTACTTGCTCTTAGAGCAGAGTTATCATCCATCTCATATTTTATTTTCTCTTCCAGATTTGTTTCGCTTAATTAACCTTATTCCTATTACCATTGTTATTGTGTTTATTCATCTCAATAAACACCTGGTTATCTTATTATTGTCTGTATAAGTAGTAACTATCTTGTTCTCACCTCTGAGTGAAGGTTATTATTATTGTAATTTACTTGATTGTGGATAGCAGAAGAATGCGGGGCGTCAGTACATGCACCCGAAGTGAGTAATATTGTTCCCGATGGGACTCAACCTCGTACCCATCGCTCAAACACAATTTGTTGAAATACTTGTAATTCTCCGTTGTTTTACTGAATCGAATTGTCCGACCTCTGTTTATTATTATTATTATTATTATTATTATGGCTATCTGAGGTAGCTATGGTTTGGCAGACTAGTATTGACACTAGTTGATGACTGAACGTGAAATGAGACTTTGAACTGCAGCCAGATTCGAACCATCAACCCATGGATTTCCGATCCGATGCTCTACAAGTAGCGAGAGCATATAATACGACTAGAAAATATAACTGAGTGGTTGGAATAATGTAGAAAGGAGAAATTTGATGCCATATAAACCAACAAAACCCTACTTCAGCTAACTCCATGTCAGAGTAGGCGGCAACTAAGCATTCATAGCATATGTTTCAGCTGCCTCGATTGATAAAGGTTCCAAACCTCATCATCTAGGATGCCTGTTTAACTTGGACTCTAAAACTAACCTCCTCATTAATTACTCATTCGTTCCATAACACTTTACTAAAGTTGAAGAGGTAGCAGTAGTCAAACATTTTGAGCCTCCTTATGTTCTCCAGTTTACCAGTCATAGGGTATATGCTGTGCCTTACACCCGACCTTTAGTAGGTAATAGGATTTTGCATCAATACCATAAGAAGCAGAAACCAGTCGAAACTTTTGCATACATGCTAAGATTTCGTCAATCACTGGACTCATCATAGCTAATTCAACTGCACAAATAAAATGAATTAAGCAGACGACACGTTCAATTACGGTTAACTGATACAATTGTGATTGATGATCAGTGCAAAGTAATATCCCTAATGTTTCTTCAGCGTCTTAATTACAATTATGATTTGCTAATTTATTGATACTTTTGATTCTCCATTGCCACATTGAGTTCAATTCTTCTGTCTCTGTTAGCAGGTGGACTCCAAAACGGATGCCTCGATACTGTCCAGATATTCGTCACATTGTAGTGGCTTGGCGGTGTTTGAAGCGACGGGCACAGAACAAAATCACCCAGTAGGGTGCAAGTACTTCCAATTGACCAGTTCAAAATAAGACGAAACATGTTTTCTGGACTTCACCGCTAACCACTAGATAGACGACGACATAATGAATAAGAGCCAATTTTCCAACAGAGGTGGGGCTATTCGAATCACTACGGCAACGGAAAATTACAAGTATCAATAAATAATTATGACTGGTACCCCTTGAACAAGTGGTAACTATCGTGCCTAGTAGATAACAGTTTGGTGTTTGAAGAGAAGGGTATCAGTTTCGAGTCCCAGTAGAAACAACACTGCTCATCGTGAGGTGTGTATGTCCATCTGATAAACCGCAAATATAATGAAACGCGTGTCCAGGATTCTACTACTAACCACTAAATAGACTGCAATTACAATCCAGTCAGTTTACTTGAAATTGTTCACTGTGGTAACATAATCGATTATCCTTTCTAAAAAGTTCATATGAATTCTTGATGAAACTCTTCAATCACAACCGTCTTCTAATCTCACGTTCTCAAGACGTCTCTTTTCTATCTCGTCTATGTTGGATAGTTAATACGTAAATCAGAATATGATAAAACAGTGTACAAATACCCAGTCATAATAACTTACTCCTGTACATATCAGGCCATAGATTAACTGTCAGTAATCTGTTGTTGACAGAAGAGGTAGCGAAGACAGGACTTCAAATGAACGTAGAGAATATACAGGTGATGAAGAAACCAAACTAACACCACCACCACCAACAACAACAAGCAGAAGCTCAAATCACCATCAACAGGAGAAACTCAAAAGAAGTAGACTCTTTCACCTACCACCTATCTAGGCAGCATCCTATCAACTACAGGCGGCAGCACACACGAGGACGTCAAAACCAACCAGCATCGGAAAAACAACACACGTACTCATTAGCCTGAAACCACTGTGCACATCTTCTGCACTGCACTCCACTCCACTCCACTACACTACACTACACTACACTACACTACACTACACTACACTACACTACACTACACTACATTCAGCATAAAACGTCAACAACATCCGGATTTTCAACTCAAATTCAGTAAAGTCAGTCAGTCAGTCAGTCAGTGCTTCTATGTGATCGTTCACAGACTTCGCGCGTCACGAAAACCACTCCCAACAAACTACAAACATTCATCAACAACTCCATACACTGGCTCGTTGTTAGTGAAGATCAGATGGTGAGAATAATGAGAATAAGCAACAAGCAACTCTCACTGGCTGGCTGGCTGGCAACCAACCAACAAAGCATCAACCTATCGCTCAACAAATATGCACTGACTGCAAGCAAGTGGAGATGGATTCCAACAGGCATGAACTGAGAAGACCATTCAGCGACATCACGCGACAGGCCAGGCACTCGAGTGGAACCCAGATGAGAGACAACGAATTGAGCGTCCCAGCTCAGGGTGACATGGAGGAGATCATGTGAGGAAGAAATCAGAGCTTGTGGACAGTCGTGGAGCCAGGTTCAAAAGATTGCAGAGAAGAGAGTGGAATGGAGGCGTGCTACTGAAGCCCTATGTTCCACTTGGAACCCAAGGGACAAATAATATAAATAATAAGAATAATCTGAGGTTTGAAGAATTCAGTCTTTAATTCTTCACAGGCCGATAAACAAACAAATCAACCAATATAGCTTGGGGGAACAAATGAGAATTAGTTTATTGATAATTGTTTTTTTTTCTACCGAAGAAACTCATTTATAAGGTGTAAGAAATAAATGTAACATGGATAAGATGTTGATTAGGGTCACAGATGAACCATTATGATACATATTCGATCAAATCATCATATCACATCATGTATAAAAGCAAAACTTTTCGAAAATCTGATAATTTGGAAATTATTTTTTCATGGAATAAAGTTGAAAAATGAAAATCGGCTATTTCAAGTTTGCACAGCTTAGTTTTATTTTATCGTAAATATCTCACTAATCATAAAGAAGTCAATTGAATCATTGTAGATTCATATATAAATTGTTGGTTGATATATATCCTGTATACATAACACTTTATATCTCACATAGAGTTAAATACCCATAACTATATCGACTTGAAATGTACTCAGTGAGCCATATTTGTTATGTGAGAGGACTAATGATACTATCTGGCTCCTAAAACCTCAGTATGTGCAGCGGGGTTCGAACCTGTGATACATTAGTCGGAAGTCATCTCCTTAAATCAATGAGCGACACCTCCCCTCATAACCATGTATCAACCATCTTCAAAAGATTTGTGTATAGCTATATATATCTTGGTGAAAAAACTGTATTAGAGAAAAATCATCGTTCAATGGAAAGTCAAATGCTTACCCTAAATATATACTGAATGCAGAATACGGCATTTTTCAGCAATTCTATGTGGAGGTTTGTAGAGAGTTATTAGTGAACCTTAGGTTAGAATTCATTACAGACTGGCATCAGTTGGAGAACCGTTGGGAAGCTTGGAGAACTGGAGAGCCGTTTCATCCTAGTAAGAGACTCCTCAACAGTGCGCGCCAATGAATCCGCCCACCAGGGATCAAACCTAGGATCTTTGAGTTCCATGGTCAGCACGTTACGATTAAGTGACTGATTGACTTCGAGAGGTGATTCTCGAAGTTCCAATGAGAAGTCGTGACCAGTGAGGTCAAACAATGGTTTATGTCTAATGTTGCATAAAATCGAAGAGCTACAAGCAAAAACTGACAAGTTGGCAGAACAAGCAGGGCAGCGAAGACGAAACTTTCAACAGGTGAACGTAGAGAAAACAGAGATGTTGACGATACCCAACCTACAACAACAAGCACCAACCACCATGAACGGGAGAAATCTATACGAAGTTGTCTCTTCCACCTACACCTACCTAGGCAGCATCCTCTCAAGTACAGGTGGAACAGGCACAGATGACCACGTGAAAGCCAGCCAGGATGGCAAAGATAGAAAGACAGGCGTTCATTAACCTGAAATCAGTGTGGAGATTTACTGCACTCAGGGTGAAGCATGAACAATATCCGGATTTTCAACACTAATTCATTCACGTCAGTTGGTGCTTCCATGTGATGGTTGAGAGCCTTGGCGTGTTTCGAAAGGGATTTCCAATAAACTGCACACACACACACACACACACACACCAACAGCTGCCGTTTGGTACTGAAGATTAGATGGCCAGAAAGAATAAGCAACAGGGAACTCTGGGAACGAACCAACCAAGAAGCCATTGCTCAACAAATACGCAAAAGCAGAAAGTAGAGATGGATTGGATTGGACATAGACTGAGAAGACGTTTTAGGAATATCAGGCGTCAGACCAGGTCCTTGAGTGGAGCCCGCGTGAGAAACGACGAGTTGGGCGTCTCATCTGAGGGTGACATGGAGGAGAGCGTATCAGGAGGAAATGAAAGCTTCTGGGTAGTCGTGTAGCTAAATTGAAAAGACTGCAGAGAAGAGAGTGAGATGGCGACGTGCTATTGAAGTCCTATGTTCCACCAGGAACCCAAAGGATGAATAATAATAAAATGATCAGCTCTACTGAAGACATTTGATAAGCATAAAAAAGTTTACATGAAATAACTTACTTCTGGTGGTGCATAACCTAAATCCAATGCTTCTACTGGCGGAAACAATTCATCACGTAGACGACTGATTAAACAACGCAGAAATTTTGAAATAAAACAAGTCAATAATTTAGCTGACTCTTTTTGTTCAGAGGATGGATGATAAAATGATTCCATAGCCTGTCACAAAAAGAAGATGAAAGAAAGTGTCTGATAAATAGAAACTAGAATGAATGGTGACAGACTGAAGAATAGTAAACATATATTCTTTTTACGTTGGAGTCCTGGATCACTGTTTCTTCCTAGTATGAGACTCTCCAGCAATTCGCACCCATGACCCCTCCCCCCACATGAGGGATCGAACCCAGAAACTCCAGGTCCGGCAGCCAGCGCGTTACCATTAACCCAATAGGTCGCCATTCGATGATAGACACTTCCTACTTTTGTCAGTTCACGATATAGCGTGACCTCCAAACAATTCTGTCATTGAGTAACTGTCTTCATGTTCGACTTGGTTAACTCCACTGGTCACTTCTCAGTGGAAACCACTTCTAGAAGCTATTCATTAGATTAATTCGATTTTGTGGTTTATGAGGCTTTAGTGATTGACTTCAGTTTGCTTACCGCCACGGATTGACATCAGGTGAAGACATATCAGAAACCTGGGAGCACTAGATAGCTGTTTCGTCCTAACATGGGACTCCTTAGCAGTGGATAAGCATGACCCCACCACGCCAGAGATGGAACCCAGGACGTTAAGGTTCCTTTATTCGATAAAAACATAACGACAATAAAAACTGTATTGACGATGAAGTCTAACTTGATAACAGATTGTTTACTAACAGATAAGAGTCATTCCTGGTACAGTACAGATCAGTGAATCACTGGATTAAGCAATGAATCACCACCAGTAAGCCACAGGTTCATACCACGGTTTGATTGATCAGTTCAACGCATAGCCATTTCAAAATAGGTAGATGCGATTACCTAAAGGGAATATATGAACACTTAACTATGTTTATAATAACGGTTACTCTAAGAAGGTATATACAGTATGAATAATATCAAATAACGAAGTATAAAAAAGAGTGAAAATGGCTTCTGATATTTAAATGCCTATGTTAAAGAGGCCAGTATATGTTTTATACAGTTAGAATATGAAGACTTTTCAGGAGTTACCTAGTCATGAAGTGAAAGATAGCATGAATTGTGGAAATGATACTCTTCAGTTATTCGTTAATAAGCAATAGATGGAATTGAAGAATTCTGCCATTTTTGATAGATTCACCCAGTGGTATTTGCCTTTCAATTTCCTTTTTCAAGTGGAAATAGATTTTCTAGTTAACATGTAAGGAATTAGCGCATCCTGGATTCTACTGCTAGCCACTGTTCATCATTACTATGTAAGAAATTACTTAATAAAATAGAAAGGAATGATATTGTATGCCATTATATTACGATAATTGCCAGTTCTGAATGTTTCTTGAAGAATTGGAGGTATGGTTAAGCAGTTGAATTTTGACAAATAAGGTTATAGATTCGAAAATTATTCAACCTATCAAGGATTGGACAGTTCATTGCTTATTGAATGAATTTACACCAGGTTATTCAAAGCATTTTGATCCAATTAAATTTCAATCGTGAAGATGAAGAAGCAGCCTAAACTACTAGGCAATGAATCAGTCTTAATAATGTGTAATATAAAATTACACATTCTAACCCTAGTTGTAACTAATGAAAGCGCAAAATTTTCAGTAGGAAATGAAGATAGAATTCTTTGCTAACTTTAAAAAGGACAATTATTTAAACAGTCGATTTTAACCTTCACTACCTTAAAAGTTTGTATTAAACAAGACTCCAGTTGGCGACATCAAAATTCTAATGGGCAACATCAATGCCGAACTCGGAGCGGACAACACAGGAAGAGAATTAATTTTGTGTCGAGAAGCACTCGATGAAATGAATGAGAATGCTCCTTGCTGAACATCAGATGACCAGAATAATGAGAATAAGGAACAAGGAACTCTCTCTGGCTGGTAACGAACCAACGAAGCAGGAACCCATCACCCAACAAATATGCAGTGGAAGAAAGTGGAGATCGATTGAGCATAAACTGAGAAGGCCAATTGGGGACATCACGCGTCAGGCCAGGCAGTCTAGTAGAATCCAAAGTGGTAAACGACAAGTTGGGCATCCCAGCTGATGGTGACATGGAGGAGATCATGTGACGAAGAAATGAAAGCTACTGGGTAGTCGTGCAATAGAGGCGTGTTACTGAAGCCCTATATTCCACTGGGAACCCTAAAAGCTTAATAATAAAACTTCATGCTGAACACTTTGATCATGATGCCCAGGTTCAGTTATTTAACATCGATCAATAAATCAACAAGATTATCTCTGATCGTAACTTTTAAGGCAAAGAAAGTATTCATTCTACTTTACTATTAAAAGCTTGAAAATCAAAAGAATTCCATTTACAGTAGTAAACTAGTAATATGAATAATCAGAAATTTTTAAGAGCCCTTGCATACCAAGTAAAATAAGAAAAGTCGGTGAACAACCCTACACTCGCTTTTGATTGGTCGTTTAACAGTTGTCCAACGGTTGTAATAATAATAATAATAATAATAATAATAATAATAATAATAATGTATTTTTGAGATTAGCGGGGATTTTCAATTTAGAGGTAGTATTCATCATGGACTGACATCAGTTGGGGAACCATTGAAAATCTGGGAGCAATGGACAGCTGTTTCGTCCTAGTATAAGACTCCTCAGCAGTACGCACCCACGACCAGACCAGGGGTCGAAGCCAGGACCTTCAGGTTTCACGGCGGACGTGTTAACCATTCAGCCACTGAATCATTCTCCAGTGGTTCACAATTTCCAACTTCTGTCAATTCACAACATAGCGCGACTGTTACCCAAGGTCTTCCTTCAGTTAGCATCCACTTCACTTCCGACTGGTTGACCCCACAGGTCACGGCTTCTCATTAGAGCTTCCTGATATCCATCTGGAAGTCGGAAGTGAAGTGGATGCTAACTGAAGACCTTGGGTGACAGTCGCGCTATGTTGTGAATTGACAGAAGTTGGAAATTGTGAACCACTGGAAACCGACCCAGTGGCTGAATGGTTAACGCGTTCTCCGGGAAACCTGAAGGTCCTGAGTTCAACCCCTAGCCGGGTCGTGGGTGCGTACTGCTGAGGAGTCCCATACTAGGACGAAACAGCTGTCCAGTGCTCCCAGATTTCCAATGGTTCCTCAACTAATGTCAGTCCATGATGAATATCACTTCTAAATAATAATAATAATAACGGGAATGAATTAATTATACGAACTTTGAAAGATTGTTCCAACCGATAAATCACTGATGATTGACAATCTGGTCTATCAGGACCAATAGTATTCATAATCAATTGAGCATAAAAGTGTACTTCATTTGGATCCATTGGACGAGAAGTATAAAATTTTGTACATTTTAAGGTTATACGTCTTAAGAAACCGGAGAATATACGCTCTATATGTGGTTCCCAATCGATACGACCACGACCAATTTGTGAAACTTTGCATAATATTTCGATAAACTCCTAATTTTTTTTTCATTTTTGTATTTTTTGAAAAAGAAAAAACAAATATGAAACAAGTAAAAAGGAATCATAGTAATAAAAAATTAAGAATGAAACTTTAAAGTATCGTTAAAGGTTCAATGGATCCTTCATGAATCTTTTGCTACAAAGCCTAATAAATCAAATGATACCTGGTGACCAATATGATTAAGACACTAGAATTTTATTCAGTGATCCATAGATGAGGATTTTCCTTCAGTTATTAAGGATTTGTGAATAAGCATAAAGTATTTTGATGGAAGAACTGGGGAGCATCTCTCACTCTACTTGCTAGTCATCAGGCGAGTATATCAAAATTCTAGTCAGAGAGAATACGGAAAGCTTTCAGGCGGTTGACACTCCCCAACTTCCCATACCATGGGAACGTTATTTCTACCTGGAGTAACTGAAACGGAAAAAGATGTGTACTCTCAGAGTCAATAGAAGGCCGCCTATCACATACACCCCTTTGGCGAATGTAGTTTTCAGATTCAGTTGTTCTAACATAGGATAAGGATAACCCATACCACCGAAACTGGAAGACTGTGAGGGAGGGATGAGTGTGATATTTTCAGGGTCAACTTTTCGTAAGAACTACTTTCCCTTAGGGAAGAAAGTGTCAGTATGGCACTGCTGGTCATCCAAGGGAAAGACTTGAATGCTGACACACCGTAACCAGCCAGTAGTGCGACTTCGCTTTCAGAAACCTATCGTAGTGTAGCGATTCCTACTACAACGGTAACAGCTTTTTGTCTAGCCACGCTACAACACACGTTTATGGAATGGTAGAACCGCAAAAGAACAAGCGTTCCACCAGCATAGCTCGTTAGGTCATTGTGGTATACGAGCCAGACCAGAAACTATCAGCCGAAGAGGAGTTAGTGAAAACTGAAAGCTATTATTTTGCTTTCCACTCTCATATATATACATACAAAACTAAAAATACGGTAACAATCGTAGACAGCTGTTGAAAATGATTCATTGTAAAGAAAATTTCCTCAGCTGAAACTTCTTTTCAATAAATGTATTCTATGATCTAAACTTTGGGTTTCGCCGATGACTTGTGTCTAATATCACACAAACTTGAACATCTACAGGTGTAAACTAACAAGTTGACAGAAGAGGCCAGGCAGCGAAGACGGGACTTCAACTGAACGTAAAGAATATACAGGTGATGAAGATACCGAACTAACACCACCACCACCACCACCACAACCAACAACAACAACAACAACAACAACAACAAGCTCAAATCACCATCAACAGGAGAAACTTAAAAGAAGTAAACTCTTTCACCTACCACCTATCTAGGCAGCATCCTATCAACTACTGGCGGCAGCACACACGAGGACGTCAAAACCAACCAGCATCGGAAAAACAACACACGCATTCATTAGCCTGAAACCACTGTGCACATCTTCTACACTCCAATCCACTACACTCAGCATAAAGCGTCAACAACATCCGGATTTTCAACTCAAATTCAGTAAAGTCAGTCAGTCAGTCAGTCAGTGCTTCTATGTGATCGTTCACAGACTTCGCGCGTCACGAAAACCACTCCCAACAAACTACAAACATTCATCAACAACTCCCTACGCTGGCTCCATACTGACACTGAAGCTCATATGGCCAGAATAATGAGAATAAGCAACAAGCAACTCTCGCTGGCTGGCTGGCTGGCTGGCTGGCTGGCTGGCTGGCTGGCTAGCTAGCTAGCTGGCAACGAACCAACAAAGCATCAACCTATCGCTCAACAAATATGCACTGACTGCAAGCAAGTGGAGATGGATTCCAACAGGCATGCACTGAGAAGACTATTCAGGGACATCACGTGACAGGCCAGGCACTCGAGTGGAACCCAGATGAGAGACAACGAGTTGGGCGTCCCAGCTCAGGGTGACATAGAGGGGATCATGTGAGGAAGAAATCAGAGCTTGTGGGCAGTCGTAGGGGCAGGTTCAAGAGATTGCAGAGAAGAGAGTGGAATGGAGACCTGCTACTGAAGCCCTATGTTCCACTCGGAACACAAGGGAATAATAATTATTATTATTACTAGAGATGTGCTCATAAAGAAACATCTTTCTTCGTCAAAATTTACAGATAATGGTCTTGCTGTAACAGAATTCTCACGCCACTTACGGTATACAATCGATATACTTCTGTTGGGTGAAGACGCTAATAAGATGTAGGGATCTTCTGAGTATAGTGCAAGACAGTTTAGGAATATTTGAAATAATTTTTAAGCACTAATATGCGAATTCTTCCTTCAAGAATTTTAAACGTAATACATCATCTGAATATAAAGAGTAAAGTGGTTTGGTTTGTTGACCAGTATTGATTTTCTTGACCAGGTGGCGAATCGTAATGAATCAGTTATCGACAGGAGTTATTGTACTGCTTAGCAGTTTGCTGTTTTGTTTTACTAAATGACTGTGAAATATGGCCATTAAATGTGAAGAACATGAAGAAGGCGTCATATGTTCTATCACCATCGTCTTTATTGCACAGGTCGTGCATAATGAAGCTATTAAGTCATTGATGTAGAAGTCAGGCACAGAATTGCAGGTAAAAGAAATGAATCAGTTGATTAGATTATAAACCTTCATCAATTCAGATGGCTAGGATATGTGTAGCACACTTCCCGCCTACCTCCTTGGTCAACGCTGGATAAAGGTTAGAGGCAGACAAACTAAAACATGGCATCACTCTTCGAGGATTGCGACTGTAAATCTGAGACGTATAAGATATGTAGACTGAATGCGTTTCAGTTGAGAATTGGAATAGGTGGTTGAAGAATCTTGATGATATGTCTTAGAATCGATCGCTGTGATGCGGACTCATCCACGATTGATCATGTCGTACCTAGTTATCGGTTTTGACTGAAATGAGATCAAGACCTGGTGAACAGTTGGGTGCTGTATTTTACTCAGGAATATTAGGTTCCTTAGTTGATATTGACTGACAAACTGCAGTTTGCTGGATTTCAGACACTTGTTTTATCCTGTTCAGAATATATTCTTTCTTTTTATGAACGACAAAGGTTCATTGAAATTTTGCCCGGCCAATAGCTCCTATCTTGAACCTTAAGATTCTAGTTTTAATGTATGGTGTGTTCGTGGGTTGCGCACTACTGAGGAGTTCCATACTAGGAGGAAATAGCTGTCATTGGCGAAGACCATGTCTTCTAGGATCTTTTCTTCGGTCCAGCGTATCCCCCTCGTCCCGCTCCCCACTGCTTGTTGGATGATCCAGCCCACTAAAATGAGGAATACCATGGGTGATAGTAGACAGCCTTGTTTTACTCCTGTCTTCACTTCAAAGGCATCACCGAGCTTCCCATTGTGAACTACTTGACATGTGGCGTCTTCATATAGTTGTTGAATGAGGTTGATAAAGGTTTATGGTATTCCGTAGTGTTGAAGCAGTTGTTAAATTACTTGTTGGTCGACGCTGTCTAAGGCTTTTTCAAAATCGATGAAGTTGAGGTGGAGGATTGACTGCCATTGTATGCTCTGTTCTATGATGATGCGTAGTGTAGCGTTGCAATTTGGTCTGCACATGATTTGTTCTTCCTGAATCCACCCTGTTAGGGTCGTAGTTTTGAATCCAGTGCATCCTGTAGTCTTTCCAGGATGATGCGGCTTAATATTTTGTTTGATGTGAACAGAGGTGAAGCATGATTCTGCGCCAGTTCTTGCAAAGACTTCGGTCTCCGTTCTTCGGGAGTTTAATAAGCTATGAGCACATCTATGATAGAGTTAAATGAAAACGGAGAAACTTGACAAACTAGAAGGATAATGAATGATTTAGACAGCTCCCTTTGGATTCTAAAAATATCACGAAGATACTCTTCAGCAGTTTGATACATTTATCGAGGATGTATTTCATTTAAAAAACACCGTCATACGCCCTTACGGCTGGCGCAGTGGATATAAAGTTAGTGACTAGCGACGGGAAGTGTAATTGTGATCAAAGACTTGGTGTAGTGTGGAGATATGATCGACAGATCCATGACTAGGTTTGAAACCTACCTGTTACCTTTAATTTTATGTTCCTGAGCTACACTAAGGTAATTGGTGATTATTAAACCTAGAATCTTAGATAGTTTGTTGGTAGACTAATTACTAAATGACTATAACAGTAGGATTTTTCGCTCCTTCTGACAACTTCAGGAACCAGTAGTTGTGACTAATATCTCATTCGATCACCTTGTCTTATGTAACTAAATATCACCTTAGTATCTCCGTAAACACAAGTCAAGGATACACCAAAATATACTCGAAAAAATTACACAATGTATAAACAATGAGAGTTGAAGTGTACATTCAACTTACAGGATGTTCTCCACTATCAGAATGTATGTACCAGAGATCAAAAATATCTGGTAACCAAACACGGCTAAAAAAAATTAGAGTGATGAAACTGGATTTTTACAAAAAGGTAAATAAAAATTAAAAAAAAGAGGAAATCTACTCGAAGTAAGAAAAGTAGGAAAAAGATTGAAATAAAAAAAGATAGAAAGTAACTGTATCATATTCGAGTTGATTACCTAAATGTCATCTGATAAAATGGTATTCACAACTGACTCTACTTAAAATCAGTTATATATGAAATACACACAGATTTACATTTCTAACACTTATATGCTTTCAGTTTACAATAAGAATATCAGTCATACAAACATACGACAGGTTGGTATTCATCATGAACTGATATCAGTTGGAGAAACTTTGGAAACCTGGGAGTACTAGACAGCTGTTTCTTCCTAGTATGAGACTATCCACCGACGCACACCCATGAGCCCCCCCCCGCTAGAGCTCAGACCCACGACCTTTAGGTCCCACGGCCAGCATGTTACCAATGGTCCATATTTCCTGCTTCTATGAGTTCACGATATACTGTGGCCTACATCCAATGATGTCGTTAAGTAACTGTTCTCATGTTCGACTTGTCATGGCATTTCATCGAAACTTGGAAAAACATCTCACAAAGCTAGTCACCAATGAGCACTAGATTAATTCAATTTGGAGGTAGGTTTTTCCATAATGAACTGATAACAGTTGGAGAAATAAGGGAAACCGACCTGTAATCAATAAATAAATCCCTATAAAACATTAAACTGAATACAATTTGTATTGAGATTGGTATACGATGCCTTTTGGATGGCAATTTATCTTCAGTGATGCGACAGCCGGGATAAGCATACCATTTTAAATCGATAAAGCAATCTATGTACTGTACAGATGATTGAATCATACTTTTTTCTCTCTTGATATTCAATTCATGAACAAGACAGTAAAGATGGGCATCATATGGACACGAAAACATACAGCTGAGACTTTTTACTTGTTTATTGAAAACGACTATCCATGTGGATTCACAGAGAATTTATCTCATATGACTATTAGGTAGATGATATATGAAAATGATAAACTGTTCAACTTCAAGTAGACCAATTTTTGATAAGATATTCAAGAGAAGAGTTATTTGTTGATATTTTCAATTTCCTGTTGCCATACTGTGGATCAAAATTCCTCGACTTCTGTTGACAGATGGGCTCTTATACGGATGTTTCATTACCACGATGGGTAATTGGTTAAAGTGTCAGTGGGAACGACAAAACTCCCTAAGGTGCAGGTATATACAGTAAACAAGTCCCAAATAGGATGAAACGTGAGTCCTGGATTCCATTGTTATCCATCAAATGGACTACAGTAACAGAGTACTGGTGCGTAGAACAAATTGATATAATACGTAACACACCTGATAAATATCAGTGGAGTTGTAGATAATTGTTTCAGATAGTTGACTTACATCCCGTGTAGGTCACAGGTTCTATTTGGGCAGCCGGATAGTACAATCACTAGCTCTTTCATACAATAGGTGTAGATTAGTGCCTACTGCACAAATGTATACAAGGTTGCTGAGTGCATTTCAACTACCTGATAAACGCCAAACGTTATTCAGCTATAAAATAATATTAGATAAGTTGATATTATTATTATTGGTCCCTTGGGTTCCTAGTGGAACATATGGCTTCAGTAGCACGTCTCCAGTGACCTCTGTTCTCTGAGATCTTTTGAACCTGCTTCTATGACCGCCCACAAGCTCTCATTTCCTCCTCCCACGATCTCCTCCATGTCACCCTCAGCAGCCGGGACGCCCAACTCGTCGTTTCCCATCTGGGTTCCACTCGAGTGCCTGGCCTGACGCGTGATGTCCTCAGTCGGCCTTCTCAGTGCATGCTCAATCCATCTCCACTTCCTCCTGCATATTTGTTGCGTGATAGGTTCTTGGTTGGTTCGTTCCCAGAGCTCCTTGTTGCTTATTCTTTCTGGCAATCCATCTGATCTTCAGTAGCGAGCCAGCGTAAGCAGTTGTTGATGAATGTCTGTAGTTTATTGGGAATCCCTTTCGTAACGCGCCAAGTCTCTGAGCCATACAGAAGCACTGACTTGACTGAATTGGTGTTGAAAATCCGATCTTGTTCCCCATGTTGAGTGCAGAAGATCTCCACACTGGTTTCAGGCTAATGAAAGCCTGTCTTGCTTTTCCGATTCTGACTTTGACATCCTCGTCTGTCCTGCCTGTAGTTGAAACAGTGCTTCCTAGATAGGTGAAGGAGGTTACTTCCTTTAAGTTTCTCCACTGATGGTGACTGGAGCTTGTTGTTGTTGTTGTTTGGTGCGGTATCTTCATCACCTCTGTCTTCTCTATATTCACTTGAAGTCCCGTCTTCGCTGCCCTGCCCTGCTTCTTCTGACAACTTGTTAGTTTTTGCCTGTAGATCTTCAAGTTTATGTGACATCAGGCACAAGTCATCATCGGCGAAATCCAGATCTTCTAGGTTCTTTTCCGCAGTCCAGTCAGCGTATTCTCCTCTTCTCGCTCCCCACTGTTTGCTGCATGATCCAGTCCACCACAATCAGGAATATCATGGGGGATAGAAGACAACCTTGTTTCACTCCTGTGTTCACTTCAAAAAGATAAGTTGATATAAGATAAAATATTTTCTTGGCTGACTTATTTTCGACTACCCAACTATGATGACAACAGGATTGCAGTTGGGAATCATTCAGACAAGATCACAAATTGTGATCTCTGATATATGTGTGATGTATTAGCGAAATAAACTACAACATGACTGATGAGCTCGGTATACAACGAGCGAAATGACCATCTGGAGTTTAGGTTTAAGGAGATAACTTTCAACAGTACAGTCATGGATTCCAGCCCATCTCCATCTACTGAGGTTTGGACAGTGAGGTAGTATCACCATACAAAAATAGGTGTGACTCATTGCCCACTGTATGAATGTACATAATGTTGCTGAGTACATTTCGATTTTTTTTTGGTATTTACATCACTATGATCTGAGGTTGACAAAATTTACAGATAAGTCTGAATAGTTTCTAACTGGTTAAGTTGTTCGGTAACATATTTCACATTTTATTACTATTACCAATTTAAATATCATTCGATAAACTTTTGAACTATTTCCATTCTACAACTGTTTATTGTCGAAAAAGCAGATTGTTTATGAGTATAACTTTTTAATACTTCACTGTCGATATTATTGGAAGGTATTACATAACGAAATATGTCACTTATTATGCAATCCATAAAGAGAAAAAAGACAAAACTCTGAAGCAATTTGACCTTTCTGATCAGCATTATTTTAATAGACAGAATAAGCTTATGAAATAATAATAATAGAAATAATTTATACTGAGTGATGATTCAAGGTGAAATAAGATATTTGAACTGCGATTGGATTCGAATTAGCGATCACCGAGTTACTAGCCTAATGCTTTATCAAAAGGCTGAATACAAGGACTAGATTTGTTTTACCTAATTTCTATAGCCTCAGCTATGTGTAAAATGTGAGTACAAATTCTATTCGAAAGATTTTGCGGAATCCAATAGATGATCTTGAACACTTTTGGTCTTGTCTATTACATGACTACTGTCGATTAAATGTCAACTCCGTATTAACTTCACTTGACCCTTTCTTAGCTATGATAGTAAGGGCTTAATGATACGTTTGTTAAGCTGCTTAGTTGTACAAAACAAACCTAGTCTTTGTGAAGCCTTTATCACTGCTTTGATCAGAGAAAACCGTTTTCCCTGCCTTCATTCATTTCACACATACTTATCTATACTGGGTGATGATGATTGAAAGTGAAATGAAAATTTGAACCAAGGTCGGATTCGAACCAGAGACCACTGGCTCAACCTACGACTGCTTGCCAGATTTTATTTCACTTTAATCACCAAGGGTTTCATCTGACTACCATATGAATTCGTGATGCGTTACTACTGCTTGGTTTTACTCAAACTGGTTGCCTAGTCAGGGCTTATTATATCCCCATCTAAATCGGACTGGATTACAGGGAGAGGGAGCATCATATTAACTATCATTTTGACTATCTGAGATAGTCGTATTTGTAGCCATATTTATTTGTTTAGACTTTGATGGTTTACAAATTTCATCCTTCAGTGTTGAGTAACTTTTATGTTTTAAGTTTTGATCGATATTGTTTGTCTAAATATTTGCAGTACCATGCTGTCCCCATTATTATTATTATTATTATTATTATTATTATTATTATTATTATTATTATTATTATTGTCGCGATATCTACTATTTGCATACTTCATCCCCTAGTTACCACAGGCTAAATAATCCATTGTGATTTTTAAAGTTAGTATTCATCATAGATTGACATCAGTTGGAGGAACATTGGAAACCTGGGAGCAGTGGACAGCTGTTTTGTCCTAGTATGGTAGTCTTCAGCAGGGCGCAGTGATAATAAACTATGTATGGATTTATTGTCAAGGTCATTCAAAATGTATATATTCGGTATTACTGTCAACTGTTTTGCCTGTTGTTGAGACAGTAAAAGCTCTATGTCAACAATCCATCTTCTCTTCACGCGTCGATAGTATTGTTATTGTGGTAGTGGCTGATATTCTGCTTTGCGTTAGAGACGATTCGTTTATGTGTTAAGTTCATAGTCTGTTAGGTTCATATCACGCGTAGGCTGTTAGGTCATACTACCAGTCATAGTATATTTAGCATATATACTTGCGGTTTGCGAAAGCATCGGTACACTGATGTTTGATAGGACGTAAGATGAAACCTTATAATCATATTTCCACTATTATTCTTATTATTATTTCTTTAGTGTTTCTATTGTATGCACACAGGCATTTAAATAATGTTAAAAGTAAACCAATTAATCATTACAACTTATTTGACGATATACCACAGCTAGTGTATAACACCTGCCTGACTAATGGAAATATGGCCCAATGGTTTAGCTAAATGAATATCAACTGATAGGTCATTGGTTTGAACCCCCGCTCCGCCAACCGAAATTTCGGTAGCCATATAGTATACCTAGCCCTCAAAACACTTGTACAAATACCTTCAGATTCTACCCTTGCTGGTCACTCATTTCCTCTGTAACAGAAAAAAGGTGGTAATATAACAGGTGTATTTACGTCAAAAATATATAGTACAAGGTTTATATATATTACCATGGTCTTGGCTATTTCCAGGCGCGTTTAGATTAAAATCCTATTGATTCTTCATCGCTTCAATTAATCCGATGCTTAAACGCTGATTTTCGCGTTTTTATCTCCCGAAACTTTGAAGCGAAGTGATTGGTTGAAAAAGGCATTAACGATTTATGAGTAGTTATGATCATTCTGGTAATCGTATCCTATACGATATTATATAGTTCTACGAGTAAGCGGGTTCTGTGGGTATATTTACTAAGAATATATATTTTAATTAAAAAGTATGCTAAAAAAGATCACTTACCTAATCTCATCAAAATGTTTAGGATAAAATGGTGTATAAGTGAAGAATGGATACAACGATAGACAGGTTGATTCATTAGCTAAATAACTGCAAATATTATGACGAATTCTTAACCAAATTTCTTCAATTGAACTCTTTGGGAAGAATCTTTTACAAAAAAGAAGATAGAAGGGAAAAGAAAAAAGTATCAAAGGGAATGTAAACCGACAACGCACCAGATGTATACACACATATGATAGTATAGGACTCCTCAGCAGTGCGCACCCATGACCCCACCAGGGATGCAATCCGCGACCTTCAGGTTCCGTGGCCAGCACAGAACCATTCAGCCACTAGCTTGGCGGAATCCAATGGGCCACATTTCCAACTTCTGTTAGCTCACGATATAGCGCAACCGCCACCCAATGTCATCGTTGAGTAACTGTCCTCAAGACCATCAGGCTTTGACTCTACCGGTCACGACTTCTTATTGGAACTTCGAGAATACTTTTCGAAGCTAGTCACCAATGGGCACCAGTTCAATTGAATGTTGACGGATTTGTGGAGATGTGGAAATATTTCAAGTTGTTATTCATCGTAGACTGACATCAGTTGGAGGAACAGAAGTTGGAAATATGGAGCATTGGATTCTGACCCAGTAGCTCAATGGTAACGCGCTGGTGGCGGGTTGGATCCCTGGAGGGTGGAGTCGTGGGTGCGCACTCCTGACGAGTCCCATACTAGTCGGATGAAACAGCTGGCTGTCCAGTGCTCTCAGGTTTCCTTTGTTCCTCCAACTGATGTCAGTCTACGATGAATAATAACTTGAAATATTTCCAAATTCCCACAACTCCCTCAAAAATTCAATCAAACCAATCAAGCTTCTATGTTTTATGAAAAACAAGCTTCCTAACCAGAATACTGAAACCTAGTTGATTATTTGAGTAATTGTCAGGGTAGCCATTTAAGTCGTTCTATATTTCTCCTAGTTGTTTATCCACTATACAACTATGATGTCAACACGGTTTTTGGCAAAAACCAATCAGAAGAAATTTCGAGTTGTGTACTCCAATCACAATACTATTTTACTACTACTGATGATAACAATGAAATCCTGAGTAGTCAAGATCCATAAAATCTCATTGTGCCTATTCATATAAGAGTAACTTTATATATGAAAAATTAACGAGAACACTATTAACACTACAGTTCAGAATGTTTGAAAAATCATTTGAATGTGAAAAAAATCAACATGAAACATGCCATCAATAATAAGAAAATGTTGTTTACTTTTTCTATGCATCAATGAATAATTCGTCTACTTAAAGGTTACACATTCAAATGATTTGAAATGCTTTATTCGGAGAGAGATAAAATTCATTCTGGCACTGTTAAGACATTAGAATCCAAGCAGACAAAGGTGCCAACTGATAAATGGCTTCTAACCATTCAAATTCCCTATTGATATATTTCAATTATTATATCATCTATTACAAGATAATAATGATAGTTATATTTACAAAAAACTTCATGGAACAGCTTACTTTGTGCACAAAGCAAGACAATCACAAAATGCTTTCCTTTCTTCCCTATGGAGTAGAAAGCAAGAAAGATTATATTTACAAATGAATAAGAATTTAAACAATAACATAAAGATAAAGAGTGAAGTGGTAGAATGTGTCGACCACTTCACTTATATGAGGAGTTGCATCAGTTTGAATGACCTGATTGCTGACAGCTTAGATATAGAAAGCCTGTTTGGCATTCACCAATTTACATTACCTGCGGCACCGACTAGCAAAGATATTCGACTTTATCCATCAAAAGACAACTAAAATGCGTTGCGTCCAGTTGTGAGACATGGTCATTGAAAGTGGAAGATATGAAGCGATTACACGCTTTATATCACAAATGTCTTTGTAGCCTTCCCTGTGTTTAGTGAGATCATGGCGTGTGTAATAATTAGGTCAGGCGAAGGATGCTAAGCAAGACAGGCAAGTCAACTGATAAGGTTGTGGACCTTCATTGACTAAGATGGATTGGATATGTACTGCGCATGCCGAACCACTGCCTACCTTGACGTGCTATGCTATGAGAAGCTGAATTAGGTTGAGAGTGGGTTCAACAGAGTGAGGGAAATTGAGAACTCTTGGTGACATGGCTGAAAACTGACCATAATAGGGCAGATGTACCCCGCTCCTTCACATCTTCTGAAGCTTAAATGTTTTCATCAAACGTTAACTTCAGTTTTTTTGTTCTCTAACACAACTTTGTTTACTTTCATCTCACTCTTTTCTCTATCCACCTATTCTATGTGTACTAGCGTGAAATGTGACAACTTGGACCCAGACACCGGTGTAAGAGGTCAATATGTTATTCAACTGTGAAAAAAGTAATCCTTGTTGAAGATAGACAATATGAAGTTAAGCGTTGTATCTATCCAACCGACAGTCCCTTGAAAATATTGCTCAAGTTCACTAATATCAACCAAGGAGTAGGAGTTAAGGTTTTAATAAAATTAGAGTGTAATAATCAATAACAATACAAATGTATATCGAGATACATCTCGTATATATTCAACGTGATAATATAATTCGACAAATATACCATAGCGTAATTAGAAGACGAAGATTATCTGAGCAATGTGATGTATTTGCGCGATATATTTCAAACAATCTGATCACACATTTACTTGTCAAGTCTATATATATATATATATATATATATATATATATATATATATATATATATTCAACCGAGGACTGGGAAGGGACAAATTGTTGACTGTCTTAGTAACATGAATATAAAAAACAAGATTATGTTCTCTTTCGATGTAAATTCCTTATTTGCTAACGTGTCGTTGTCCAAGACTATTAGCATCCTCTGTGACTATATGTCCTCTAAAAACCTGCCATTTCCTATTACTCCAACCTTTCTGCAGGAGTTATTATTGCTGTGTACCGACAAAGTCCACTTCACATTTGAAGGTGAACGCTTCCGACAAGTTGACGGTGTAGCTATGGATAGTTTCCCTTAGGACTACTACTAGCCGATATTTATGTCATATATCGAAAATCTGGCTGATGATCTCATCGCTAAAGTTCCTCTTTACAACAGATATGTTGATGACATCAGAGTGATTTGTGAGACGCATGAGGATATGGCTTGTCTACTAAATAGACTTAATGCCGTACAAACACACATCAGCCTGACTTGTGATATACTCCCCAGCCGACGAGATGGTTCAATAAGAAGGTCAGTTTACAAAAAGCCTACATGGACAGGACAATACCTGAATTTCCACAGTTTTCGTCCAATCCAATACAAGTGAGGTTTAGTAAAATGCCTGTTTAATGGGATCTATCGTAACAGTACACCCGATGCGACGGATGAAGATATCAAATTACTGACCAAAGCACTTATGGAAAATGGATATCCGACGAAGTTTATAAACCGTTGTAGAGGTCAAGTAGCACCAAAACCAACTTTATACACGGTCCTTAAGAAAAATGTCCATATCACTCAACCATACATAGGGGAGCTAAATAGTATCATTTGAGAAAACGTATTATGCGGTGAATCATACCGACGTGGAGAAAACAAAACACATGCTTCACCAAAAACCTAAACACTGCATCAGCGATTACGTCACATCCCATTGTGTTACCAATTTACATGTGTGTGTGGTTACACATACATAGGGAGGAGTAATCGCGTCATGCAGTTGAAGGTAGGAGAACATGTGCCTAAAGGGCTTCAAAAACAAATGGAGTGTGAAACAGTGATAAACGCTGGTGGGAGACGACCCTCTTTATCTATAGCTAAACATATCATAGAAACAGGTCACAAAGTTAATGTTCAAACAGCTTTCAAAGTCTTATATAGAAACAGTTAGGGACGTATTCTGAGATTTGCGGAAGCCACAGCCATACACAAATTTAAACCACCTTTATGTGTACAAAAACAGTTTGTTATTACACTACACCTACCTTGGTAAACTTTGTTTTCTTACCAAGATTAGGACCAACTATGTCACTTCCTGTTTGTCCTCATCTTTCTTAATTTTAATCCCCTATTGTGTCAATTGTTGTATTTATCCCCCTCCCAGTCCTCGGTTTAATATATGTTGATCAGATTGTTTGAAATGTATTGCGCAAATACATCACATTGCTCAGATAATCTTCATCTTCTATTTACGCTACCGAAATCCATAAAAGGGACTAACTGTTTCAAATATATCATATAGTATTTTACATCAATCCAATAAAATAACTTTTATGTTATTCAACTGGATTGTAAGCGAACTGACTAGCTAGCAGATATTTTCCCCTGAGCAACTGAAACCAACTGTAGTAAACACTGGAAGCAATGGGAGTGTTTTGAACAACTATTCTATGTTTGTATAGGACTTCTCAGTAGTGCGAACTGATGATGATGACTTCATATGATGTCAATCAGAATACAAGTCAAGTGAAAATGTAAAAACATTTCAGGGGCTATGAAATCGAAGAAATTTACGTTAGATTACATCATTCCGAAAAGAATTGTTAATAACTATACTACACGGGATGGGGTGATGATGATACCCAACCAACACCAACAAAAAGCAGAAGCTCAAATCAAGATCAACAGGAGAAACTTAAAGGAAGTAAACTCTTTCACCTACCACCTATCTAGGCAGCATCCTATCAACTACTGGCGGCAGCACACACGAGGACGTCAAAACCAACCAGCATCGGAAAAACAACACACGCATTCATTAGCCTGAAACCACTGTGCACATCTTCTACACTCCAATCCACTACACTACACTACACTCAGCATAAAACGTCAACAACATCCGGATTTTCAACTCAAATTCAGTAAAGTCAGTCAGTCAGTCAGTCAGTGCTTCTATGTGATCGTTCACAGACTTCGCGCGTCACAAAAACCACTCCCAACAAACTACAAACATTCATCAACAACTCCCTACGCTGGCTCCATACTGACACTGAAGCTCACATGGCCAGAATAATGAGAATAAGCAACAAGCAACTCTCGCTGGCTGGCTGGCTGGCTGGCTAGCTAGCTAGCTGGCAACGAACCAACAAAGCATCAACCTATCGCTCAACAAATATGCACTGACTGCAAGCAAGTGGAGATGGATTCCAACAGGCATGCACTGAGAAGACCATTCAGGGACATCACACGACAGGGCAGGCACTCGAGTGGAACCCAGATGAGAGACAACGAGTTGGGCGTCCCAGCTCAGGGTGACATGGAGGAGATCATGTGAGGAAGAAATCAGAGCTTGTGGACAGTCGTAGGGGCAGATTCAAGAGATTGCAGAGAAGAGAGTGGAATGGAGACCTGCTACTGAAGCCCTATGTTCCATTACGAACACAAGGGAATAATAATAATTATTATTATTAGAGATGTGCTCATAAAGAAACATCTTTCTTCGTCAAAATTTACAGACAACGGTCTTGTTGTAACAGAATTCTCACGCCACTTACGGTATACAATCGATATACTTCTGTTGGGTGAAGACGCTAATAAGATGTAGGGATCTTCTGAGTATAGTGCAAGACAGTTTAGGAATATTTGAAATAATTTTTAAGCACTAATATGCGAATTCTTCCTTCAAGAATTTTAAACGTAATACATCATCTGAATATAAAGAGTAAAGTGGTTTGGTTTGTTGACCAGTATTGATTTTCTTGACCAGGTGGCGAATCGTAATGAATCAGTTATCGACAGGAGTTATTGTACTGCTTAGCAGTTTGCTGTTTTGTTTTACTAAATGACTGTGAAATATGGCCATTAAAGGTGAAGAACATGAAGAAGGTGTCATATGTTCTATCACCATCGTCTTTATTGCACAGGTGGAATGGAGGCGTGCCAGTGAAGCCCTATGTTCCACTCGGAACACAAGGTAATAATAACAATAAATACTATACGGGATATGGTGGTAGTATTGAGACAAGGAGACGAATAAAATCAACGTAGTACCTAATACGTTGTATATTAATTCGGAATGCACTCTCGTGAATTGTTAAATGTTTTCCAGATAACGTTAAGTAAGTTAACAATCGAATTAAGAAACAAACACATCAAAGTAGATGACAGTGAATTTTTAAATGTACAACCCGGTGGTCGCTGGTTCGAATCCGGCCACGGTTCGGATTTTTATCTCACCTTCAATCATCACCTAGTATAAGTACAACAATACATCAAATTACTATTCCTGATAGCAGTTAGGTTGATCTGTATATTTTCTTACAGGTTGGAGAAACGTACCACAGCGTAACTTACACATACCTTTCTAATTGTGACATCCTTCCTCGTTTCCAGACTAGGTAATAATCTAGATACAGTTCCTCACCATATATTATTGCTTGTAATACTCCTATTTTTACCATCATCTGGAGGTTATAATTATTTCATTTGAAAATATTGAACAAGAAGTATATATAATAGTCTGCTCAGTGGCTAGCAGTGGAATTCGGTATTCACGTTTGTCCTATCTAGGATTCATCAACTGAATATTTGTAGCGATGTTTCAAGCGATTGGTCCAACTATCACTGGGGTGCAGGTGGATTCAACTGG